AAATTTTAAGAAGAAGAAAGGAGTTTGCTTTTCTAGCAAATGAACTTAAAAAGAGAAAAATACTATTCAGATGGGATGTCCCGACTGGAATGGTGGTGAACCACCTGGGGACATGTTATAGACTTAATACTGTTTCTCAAGCAAAAGATTTTTATACCTCGGTCCTGGGGGTATGTGTATCGCCATCTATTAAGTTTAAAGCTTTGGAAGAAAAGAATGTAGAATTACAGCTTGAAGAGCCTATATTTATGAAAATTGGGGAACCCTTGTTTGAGAGGCCCCAACAAGTCCAGGTTGAGGAACAGAAGACAACTTGTGCAGCATACAATTGCAAAGAAAAGCAGCAACAGAAGAAGGTCTCTGAATCTCTGGGAGAAGTTAGACCTACAAAGTCTCTGGAGCAATCTTCAAGGGTGGAATTGCTGCCTGAAATGGAAATTGGGAAATTTCAGCTTGAGGGGCACCAACAAGAGAGGAACGGGCAGAGGATAACTTGTACAACTTATAATTGTGAAGATCAACACAAGGAGGAATTCACTGAGGAAGTTTTACAGGTATCGGTCCCTGAGACTTGTCCAACATATAAATGTAAAGAAAAAGTAACATATAAATGTAAAGAGAAAGACCAACAGAAGAAGGAGGTTGAGGAAGTTTCACAGGTACTGATTCCTGAGCTTGTGGGTCAACCAGGACTTACAAACTCTTTGGAGCGATCTTCAAGGGCAGAATTCCACGCATTTTTTTCGATGCTTGCGGGCAAGAGAAACCGATATGGATTGTGCTTATAGTAGATGTAACTGGCTATTAGACAGAAGATTATGGATATTGAATGAAAATTTTAGATAAGAAGTTTGTGTTTATAGTGGGTGCAACTGGTTATCGGACAGAAAATTATGGACATTGAATGAGAACTTTAGACAAGAAGTTTACTATTGAGATTGTGGGAGAAGTAAAACTTACATCGTTTTTGGAAAATGTCTTATGTAATGTCTAAATATGTGTTTTGGGATAATAATATATTTCAGCTTTAAGTTTTAAACCTTTAATGATAATATTGTTTAAACCTGTGTTTTGAAGGGATTATAATTTGTTTATTTCAGTGAGGGGATTCTAATAAATTTGTGTTTTGAAGGGAGTATAATTTGTTTAAGTTCCAAGTAAAGCTTAAATTTGGTTTTTAAATATTATTATTAATATTTCTAAGAGAAAATAATTTGTTTAATTAAATGTCTAGATTTGTTTAGGAAAGAAAGTAATGCTTAAATCTGTGTTTTTGGAGGAAGTTTATATAGAATGATGATTGTATTTAGATTTGTTTAGGATTCAAAAGTGTTTCAAGTTTTTAAATATTATTAATATCTTTAAGAGAAAATAATTTGTTTAACTAAATGTGTCTAGATTTGTTTAGGATTTTTAAGTTTTTTTTTGGATAGGTGAGAAGATTATGAAGATTGAAGGAAATATGTATTTACTTTAAGTTTTCTAAGAGTATTTAGTTTTGATGGTATAACAAAGGTTTATATATTTATTTTTTTGTATTAGGATAAAGAAAGAGGGAGAAATTAGATTTTACATTATAGGTATAGATATTCAAAGAAAGTAATGTTTAAATTTGCGTTTTTGGAGGGAGTTTATATAGAATGATGATTGTATTTAAATTTGTTTAGGTTTTAAAAGTGTTTTAAGTTTTTTTCTCAATTAAGCCTGTACTCAGCTCTGGGAAGTCCAGGGGAGGGTTTGGGAGGTTGGGTAGGAGGGGGGTGAGGTAGGGTTGGGGGGGGTATGGGAAGGGGATTTGTTTTTGTAAAATTTAAAAATTTTCAATTAAAAAAAAAAAAAAAAAGAAAACCAAATGTACAGGTATAGTATAGGAGGTACCTTGTTCAATAGTAGTAACTGTGAGAGGGCTCTCGGAGTCCTAGTGGACAATCACCTAAATATGAGCCAGCAGTGTGCTGCAGCAGCCAAAAAAGCCAACACAGTGCTGGGCTGCATTAACAGACAGATAGAATCAAGAACACGTGAAGTATTAATACCACTCTACAACACCTTGGTAAGGCCACACTTGGAATACTGCATCCAGTTTTGGTCACCATGATGTAAAAAAGATGTTGAGATTCTAAAAAAGTACAGAGAAGAGCAACAAAGATGATTAGGGGACTGGAGGCTAAAGCATATAAGGAACGGCTGCTGGAATTGGGTATGTCTAGTTTAATGAAGAGAAGGATGAGGGGGGACATGATAGCAATGTTCCAATATCTCAGGGGACGCCACAAAGAAGAGGGAGTCAAGCTATTTTCCAAAGCGCCTGAAGGCAGGACAAGAAGCAACGGGTGGAAACTAAGCAAAGAGAGAAGCAACCTAGAATTAAGGAGAAACTTCCTGACAGAACAATTAACCAGTGGAACAACCTGCCTCCAGAAGCGGTTAATGCTCCAACACTGGAAGTTTTTAAGAAGAAACTAGACAGCCATTTGTCTCAAATGGTATAGGGTTACCTGTCTGAGCAGGGGGTTGGACTTGATGACCTCCAAGGTCCCTTCCAACTTTATTATTGTTATTATTTTTCCACAACTTTTTTTCTTTTCTTGCACTTTTTGCTTTCTCTTTGATTTATTTCTTTTTCTTATTTCTTGTTTTATACTAGTTTGTATTAATTTTTATCTTCTTTTTTAAAAGATTCAATAAAAATCATATTTAAAAAGGGAAAAAGAAGGAAAAAGAAGAAGAGAATGACCAGCAGCATGATGGATAGACTCAGCTACAGTAGCAATGAGTGCACTGTTGGAAGAGCTGAAGGACCAGATTGGCACAGATTATCACAGAGAAAATCTATGTGGCTGCTAAGAGTCAACACCAGCTTGATGGCACATAATCAAGCAGTGATCAGCAGCATCCTCTGAGCAGAGGGTAGGGGATCAAAACAGATGAGATGACAGTTATAGCAGAGTGTTTTGTCCTTGCAATGTTGATACATGTGCAAAAGAGCACACAGCCACGACTACCACCTTGTCCTGAGCACTCCAGTTGATACCATTGCTTCTCTTGACATATATAAATATTAAGTTGGACATAATGCTGCTTTCTTAATTTTTAGTTATGTGTACTGTACATGTTTGAGCTTACACAGCTGTGTATTTGAGGGTAAACTTCAGCCTTATGTAACATTATAAATGCAAATCTTGTTTATAGATATTTCTAAAGCAGTGGTTCTCAACCTTTTTAATGCCGCGACCCCCAACTGGTCGTAAGTCGGGGACTACTCAACCGGTCGTAAGTCGAGGACTACTCAACTGGTGCAGCACCATTTGCAGAATGGGACTTTTGGCGGGCTCAGCAGGGCAGAGACAGCCTGGACAATTCCTATTGGCTTTTGAAAGCCAATAGAATTAGACTCTATTCAAGAGAGTCTATTCTATTGGCTTTCAAAACACAGCTAAGGAAAAGGGGAAAAAAATGGCGGACTGCGTTGTTTGGCGACCCCCGTGAAATGGTCGTTCGACCCCAAATGGGGTCCCGACCCACAGGTTGAGAACCACTGTTCTAAAGTAATGTGTTCTATATTAAATACTTTTATAACCTTGCTAAAAATGTAAATCTTGGGGCTATATCAAATATTTGGAAAACAAAAATGTTTTCCATTGTAACCCTTTGGAAAATATTAGTCGTGATGATATTGCAGAAATTATAATGCTACATATATCCCTACCTATAGACAAAAACCTTGATTAGGCTCACAAGGTTGCTACAAAAGTTGATATCAAATTTTATTTTTAAACGTAGGGGAATGGAAAATTATTAAATACATAGGGAATTACTGTAGAATTCTCTCTCTCTCTCTCTCTCTCTCTCTCTGTGTGTGTGTGTGTGTGTGTGTGTGTGTGTGTGTGTTATTCCTAGGGACTTCATGGACAATTCTCTTCAGTATTCTTGGCAACATCTTTAGTAATGGTTTGCCACTGCCTTTTTCCTAAGACTGAGAAAAAGATTGGCCCAAAATTCACCCAGCTGGCTTCATGCCTAAGGCAGGACTGAACTCCTAATTATAATTGATTACTTTGATTTACATTAATTTTGAGTTTTTTACTGAACTTTTTTGAATGCCATTTAATGGCATTCAATGCTCATGCTATTCAAAGAGTAAATTTGGCTATTGGCCCATATATAGTTGTACATCCCTGTGGGTAGCAAATCAAATTTGCACAGATATACTCATATGTACACCAGATTAATTAATCTGAATAATCATGGCCCTCTTGTTCAGAAATTGCTTAGGGATTTAAAAGTCTTGACTTACTGGGTGGATGTGGACAAATAACCTTCCATATATTAGCCAATTTAGTCCCAAGCCATTATTTGTGGCCCAGTAACAAATTCTGTTATGTCTGGTTTATCCATTGTGCTAAAGTGTTCATTACGTTGTTTCTGAATCCGTCCATTATGGGTTATCATTATGTATGAATCTGGCAACTTTTGCTTGCTTCCCAAGGTAGAAAAACCTCCTCAAATCAAACATGTCTTTTTCACGATTGCATCTGTGCACTTTTCCTGGCAGTATTAGGGAAGTAATTTCCTTTGCCGCCTTTGGGATGTTTTTCAGATTACTAATCTACCAATAGTTCTCTAATTCCCAGGTGGTTCCTACTAACCTGGTCCAAAACCTATGATTTAAAAAAATCCTGGCTTAGCATTATTATGAAGTCAGCCATTGTCTCTGACAAATGGCTGCAATTAGAGCATGATATATTGAGGAAGTCATACTTTTTTTTAGTTTCTTAATCATAAGTGCTGTTTTGGATCCCTGTCAAGACCCCTATCCGTATATATTTATCTCTTGCCTTCATGAAGGGGTTCGAATGTATTATTTTTCATTTGTTTTGTCTCTATAATTCCAAAGCATATATTCATTTCTGTACTTGGTGGCAGTAGAGCACAGGAAGTAGAGCAAAGAATCAAAAGCATTAAAAAAATAACTCCTTGCATGTTTGCTTCTTCCTCAGGACCCAGTGGCTCAACAGAAATGATACAGCCATATACGTTTTACTGGGATTGATATTCTGCTTCCTCTAGTGGATCGTACTCAATATGAGTATTCCAATAGCCTTTGTAAAAGTAAAAAAAAAAATATCCTTGAGCTGATCTTCACTCCTGATGACTTTGTTGATGACTTCATTGAAGTTTGAGACTTTTTTTAATGTGTTAGTCATCCCAAAATTTGTTTTGCAAGTTGTGCAGCCTATATATTTGAATGACTCTGCTTGTCTGGCAACCCCATAGGCAACCTCCCATACGCTGACATTCAACTCAATATGTGCAAATCCTTAGCATTGCTAAAAATGTAGCAATTTTTTTAATAAACTTACTAAGGAGCATAAAATGTTTAGGAGAATAATAATAGTACCAATAGTAATAAGCACGTTGGGCGCAATTTCAAAACAAATGGATCACCACTTGAATACCATTGGCATTGCCAAAAAACACCATCAGTCAATTGCAAAAGGCAGTTTTACCTATAACAACTTACACCTTGAGGCAATATTTTTAACATCATCTCTGATGGTTTCCACAGACTCCAGCTGGGACTATTTGCCAATTATAGTATTGCAAATATTCCATGCTTCAGTAAAAATATTACTGTGAATTATTATTTTCTAAGTTCAGATTACAAGATGATTAATAATTACAGAACCGTTGGCAGAAAATATTTATTAGGTGTTACAATGGATCTTGGTTTGTAGTATAAAATGTCTAAGATCGTAAGAAATATTTCTTTGTAAGGATAGTATAACAATTTTATTCAAATACAAATCTGCAAAGTAGTGTTTTTCACCCAAATACTCTTTGGCTACATTTTTTAATTCTGTAGCATATTAACATATATAAGATATCTAATAATAGATACCTGTGGTTGCTATTTATTTAGTCATAAGCCTGAATAGTAACCAATTCTCAACAACTTTGGGCCTAATAGTAAAAGTCAACACCAATGTGATGGTACATAATCAATCATATTAGAGCTAATAGAAAGATGTTTTGAAGGTAACCTTTCTTCTTAATCACAGCATAGGAATAAGTTATAGATCACTTCATTATATCTAAACATTAAAACACAAATAGAAGGAAGAAAAAAGAGCTTTGGGACCTATTATATCCATACTGGAGTGGGAAAATTCTTGATGCATAAATTAAGGGATATATGTGATATCACTCATAGCAGGAAACCATCATGGAAAAAATGCAGAATAATACTGGAATACTGTACATAACTTGCCTGTGACACGGTTGTTATAAATTACATAATTTGTATAATTGCCCTGATGATACCATGACACACACTGTGTCATCTTGCTTCTACCAGACATTTATTTCATCAGTAAGAATAATTCTGGGGAAGATGCTTGTTTATTTATCTGTTGGATTTTGTCCTGCCAAATCTGAGCAGACTCTTGGCAGCTTATAGAATAATAATTAAAACATTCATAGTATACCATAAATATCTGTAATATAAGTTAAAATAAAAACAATAAAACATCCATAATGGAGTAACTATAAACAAAATATTCACGTTAAAGAATGCATGTTGAAATTACCAGTACTAATAATTAAAATCTATAATAATACTTTGATTCAAACATTAACAAACAACATTAGCACTCTGAAAAGTTCTTTACTAATACATGCAAAAAGGTAAAGGTATCCGTATGGGTTTTACTCTGGTAGTCATGAATGACTTCAAGGATGATACTCATCTCTTAAACCAAACAGCCAGCGTTGTCTGGAGATGTTTCCAGGGTCCTGTGGCTGGCATGACATCATGTCGCAGCACAAAGCGTACGGCAAAACATAGACCACTGTTAGTAATGCATGTACTAAAAGCATAACTTAACTGTTTTAAAAATGGCATTCCATTCTGAAAAATCTTTCAGAACAGCTTAGCTTTTACCGCTTTTCCAGAAAGCCATCAGAGTTGGGGCTCATTGGACGTCTGTGAAAGGACTGTTCCATGATTGAATAAGATCACTTCCAAGATTGCAGTCCTCTTATTTCATGAGCAAGCAAAATGTTAAAATACTTATCCTGTGATAGCTGTAACAGTTGGAGGAAATAATCATCTTCACTACCATTTAACTTTAAATCTGCCAGATAGGCCCTCGTAGATCAAAATCTGATTTACACTCAGAAACCTGCTGGTGAGGCCTCAACTACAGATGTCATTGGCTTGCAGGGGTTAACACTGATCACCAAATAGCCATCTCATTTTGAACCAACTATAGTTGCTGGTTGCCTTCAAAGTCAGCCATGTAAAAGCACATTGCAGTAATCTAAGCATGTAATAATGAGGGAGTTACTGTAATGCCGTTATTGGGTTAGACTTCCTCAAAAGGAACCAAATTAGATTTCCCTAGTCAGAAATATTATTGGTTATGCTGAGGAAGTAGGAGAAAAAGCATTTTGTTATACAAGTTAACATATATTCTGAAGATTCACATAGCTGTGAATTTTATACTTTACAATCATTGCTTTCTTGTCCATTTTGTTAAATTAGGAATAGCAATGCCCCAGATTAGTCAGAGAGAATGATCAGCAAATTAGGTGATCAAAAAAATTAAGTGCTCCTGAACTTATAATATTTCTGCACATGGACAACTATTGGCTCTTCATACATATTACAGGGTGCTTGCCCAAACTGGAGACAATGCATGAGCTTGGAGGCATCTGTAGTAACCCATTTTTGTTAACTAAAGCAGCATCATGCTATCGTGAGACAGTTCTTATGTACACACATGCAACATTGCTATGCTTATACAAAAATAGCATTATTGGTCTCAAACCAACATAATGCTGCTTTTGTCATTTGACACTTTCTGGATTCCGCTTGGATGGGATTAGCAATTTAGTACCATTTGTACAATCTAATGACTATAAGGGGTGCTTGCTGCTAGGAGTGCTTGCTACCCATAAGAAGTGGGAATATAGAATTCTTGCAATCAGCAATTACACTGCAATATCTGTCTCACACTATCTATGGATATCTATGCCCACAGCATATCTCAAGCAGGATATAAATTTGGTGTTCCATATTTCTCTATGAAGATGCATTTGAGCAATATGCAAAGCTATTGAACTGGGATTGCTCTTTTTCAGATTATCTTCCCATTTTATATCTATCTGCCTCTGATCTTCTCACTAACATATGCCCTCCTCATTTGCTTTTCTACTGCAGCTAACTGTCCTCAGAATTTAATGGGAAACTTTGAGAAATGTTATTGCAGGCAGAATATCTTGGAATTCTATCATTTCAAAAATTGCTTTTGGCCAGAATATCTATCCCAAAGAAGAAACAATGCCAGACTGTAAGTGGCTATGGTTTGCTGTATATTGCTATGTCTTGCAATTAGTACTAAGCTATACCTAGCTGATTAATATTAAGATATAGCTAGCATATTATATTAATGCATTCCGTGGCTGGATTTACATGGGTTTGGGAATATCTATCTACCTACCTACCTACCTACCTATCTATCTATCTTGCACCCTCCTGAAATATACAACTCTGGGTGGCTAATAGTAATTAAAAATTATACAAAAGTATGTAACAATAAAAAAGACAGATTATCAGCACCAAAATAAAAACCAACAACAACTTAATGCCTTGCTAAATAGGCTATAATAGTCTGGCTCACACTTCAAAGAAGAGAATATGTGCAATCAAACATGATTACATCATTGATTAGTATGATAGGCAAATCAATCATATCCTATGCTTGTACGACTTAAAAAAAATCCACTTAAAACTCCATAGAGATGCATTAAAATAGCTCCCTGAGTCTCTTCAAGACAAGTGGGTATACGGCTGACATGGGAATAAGATTATCTCTGAGCCCACCATTCACAAGGGACATGGTGGAAACTAGAATTCAGAGGCTTTCTAGATGTTTGTGATAGAAAAAAGCATGGTACTAAACTTGTAGGAAATAGAGTAATTAAGAAAGATCTATTCTAAACAATGTAAAGACAACAGAGAAGGGTAGGGAAGATGGTTTAAAGGCCCTGCATTCACATGAAAACTAAGCCCAGGAGAATGGTGGACCAGGTGAGAATTTCCTGGAATACAGGGTCCCATTGACTGCAGAAGCATAGCTAAAGCTGCTAAAACAGCAGCACTGGATTTTAAAAGTAAAAAAAAAATCTTTTTTTTTAGTAAAAGAAGTGACAGTGAGAGTAGGAAGACATATACTCTATAGCAGACATGAGAAGGCTTTTGTATTGTGAAAATTTCCATAATGTATGACATTTGCTGGCAGACGAAAAAAGGATGTCAGGAAAATCTTATAGAAGATGGCTAGCATGATAAATGATGCTTGCTTCAGTGCTGTAGATGGAATAGTATTTTCCATTACACTTTAGCTAAAATGTACTTTGTTACATTTATGGCTTTTTTGACCTGTATAAAGATCCACCTGCTGTGATACTAAGGAAGATAAAATAAGCTCACAATTCCAGAAAGCACTAAAATATCTTAACCTGGAAGTGTATGTTTTTTTCCTACCATTTTTCCCACTAGTGTAAGGTCCACTTTTTTCGAATCAACCAGGTGTTGATCCATTTGTTGTGACAAAAATTGCAGACAAGACTAGAACTCACTCTCCTGGTTTCTAGCCTGGTGCCTTAAGCACTAGATCAAACTGGCTTTCTGTATGTTTTGTTATTTATTGATTTAAATTTATTATAGCTACCCATTCCAGAAGATTCTGGGTGGCTTACAAATCCAAAGCCAATAAAAACAGTTAACACTGCAACACCATAGTAGGCAGCCCTGATTAAAACAATTATAGCAATGACAAACCAGACCAGAGGTACCCCAAATAGGCCTGGGATCAAAGTCAGATTTAACAGCTTTGCAGAAACCATGGTGAGACAGCACTATCCATATATCTGGAGAGATGCTCTTCCAGAGGGTGGGAGCCACAACAGAGAAGGTATGTTTTCTCAGTTTCATAAGATGACAACATGATAAAAAGTGAGTCATGGTGGATTGCCTGAAATGCTTTTTCTATGTTACAGACTTTACTTAATGTTGTAAGTCTAAATGAATCTGACTACATATGATCAAACCAAAATATTTTCTGCAAGCATGAGACAAGATGCTAAACTGAAAACCTCATATGACTAAACTGTGTGGACTAGCTTGTGTAACAAACCCAGTTTTGTTACTTTTTCATATTTGATGATTGTGTTATAAAATGTCCATTTGATGTCAGAATAGGAGAAATGTATGAAGGCCCTCTACACAGGGGGGAAAAAAATCCACAAGAAGCAATAGATTCAAGAACCAACACAATCACTTGATACTACTGCTAAAAATTATGGAAAGCTTGCTGTATATTCTGGCTTCCAAATACTTTGTGATTTAATTCCAAACAGTCGGGAACCTGAATTGACCTTGCCTTGACAATCCAGGATGTTAAGAGTTCCAAATATTCCAGCCAGGTTGCCTTCAGTATAATTCAGCATCAATGTGCCAGAACAAATGGAATAATCACATATTGATTTTGGAAATTCTGTGTAAAGAACAGATTTGTGGCAGAAGAAGTAAATACGATGAGATGAATATTACCACAGCAAGCCAGAAGTTTAAGAAAGCAGCTACTTAGACTGGACTTTAAAATTTGGCCTAGAAAACCTATGTGGAAAAAGGGACATTACACCAGCCAAGGTAAAATTTGTCCATAAACTATAACACTTATCTATTAGGAATGGACACTGAAGCACATAGAAGGAACAGTTGCTACTTATGCAGCATCTGAATCAAGAGCGGATCACCTTATGCCTTCAGCTTTCACGTAAACCAACCCAGCCATTGAGCATCTTAAAATCTGTTCTGTAGTCTTGTTCTCCTCTTTACTGTTCCACTTTCCAAATTCCTCAAATGTGCCTTCCTTTCACTCCCCAGATACACATATTGTTATGGTTCCGGCTAATGAAACACTTCAAAGAACTTCCAGGCATTGATTTTCCTAAAAGTCATTTATTGTTACAAAATGTCGGCACAGACATAACGAAGGTATGCCAATATCTAAATTCTCTTCCCCTGAGCAATTAAATTATCAGCATGTTCCCTCCCTAAATTAGCTGTCATATATCACGTTATCCAATTAGTGTGAAGGTCAAAGGTTTCCTTCCTCTCTCTTTCCTGGGCTTTTCTCTCCACCCTCTTCTGCTCTGCATTAACTCTAAAAATACCAGACAGTTCTGCTTATTGTCAAAGCAAGAATATACAGTATTTGCAGCATTGACACATATCATACTAAGCCATAGAGTAGCTTGTTTGATTTCACTTTAGCATGTTGTATGAATCCAGGCACTATATTTGAAGCTTAGCCAGCCATTCTAATTTAGCCAGTAACTCAGTTTTAAGCATGAATGCAGCCAAAGAGGATTTAATTTGGTTACATGTTGTCTGGGGGAAGGATAAGTAGCCTAAAATTAAAATTATTTTTTAAAAAAACCCTTAAAAAGAAGTATTATTTGG